GAAACTCCATCTCACATCCTTTGCTCATTTTGTCAGGCTGTAGTAATCCTTGGAGAAGGACAGCATACGTGGAAGGGTAGGTCAGCACAAGAGAGGAAGACCCCGGGTGAGATGGATTGACACAGAGACCCTAGCAATGGGTTTTAGGTGTGTCAAAGATGATGATGTTGGCTCAGGATAGGACAAGATTCAGGGCTGTTATTCATAAGATTGCTCTGAATTAACTTGATGACACATAACAACAGCAACACCACCACCAGACACTATATATATGCATGACCAAAAGCTGAGAGTACTTGGTCTATTTTATGGTACAGTGAAACAGATGTTACCAGATTATTGGAAGATTACAGAGGAAGTGCATCCAACAAAGCCAGGAATAAAGATGATTTCCAGGGATTACCTTCTTGAGTAGATAAACTTGAGCTGATCCTAGCAGATAAGTCAGGGTCAACTGCTAAGGAGGTTGAAACACTGAATGACATTTCAGAAAGGCATTACTGCCCAAGAGTGCAGAGGTGTGAAATAACATGGAATGTGTGGAAGAATATATGCAGTCAGGTTTTGCTCTTTATAGCTTGAGTTAGGATTTACCATCTCATTAATTCAGAAATAAATACTTGTCTTTATTCTGGGTAGTGCATACATACCATCTGTCAACTTTCTAGTCTAGTTCTAAAAATGGTTACAATAATGTCCTAAAACATAGTATTTGATGTTTTAAAAACATGAGTCTGATAGCCCTGCAGTAGGTGTTGCAGTAGCAGCAGTGAGAATGTGCTGTAGCCTTGAGTGTTTTTAGAGGTTCTTTCAGTCAAAATTCCACTTGGAATTCCTCTTCCTACTTAGCATATTTCTGATTTATCTGTAATAATGAAGACAACTAACTCACTGCCATGAATAGTTTAATTTTGAGGATAACATTATGAGTTGTAATGTGCTGTCGAGTTGCTTGTGACTCATAGAGACCTTATGTAGAACAACTCGGAGCCCTGCTCTATCCTGAGCCAATCTTACTTACCATTACACCAGTCATTAAGTCATCTCATCCAGGATCATCTTCTCCTGTGCTGTCCCTGCACCCTCCCATACATGATAGTCCTCTCCTCTCCAAAGACTGGTCCTTCTATACAACATACCCAAAGTATGTCAGATGGAGCTTCAGAATCCTTGCCTCCAAGGAGCAGCCTGGTTTCATCCTCTCCAGGACAAACCTGTTTGTTCTCCTAGCAGTCCATGGTATATTCACACTATGAGTATAGAGTGGTATTTTGCTTAATAGTATTGCATGTTAATGTTATTATGTGCCCTCGAGTTGCTTGTGACTCAGAGCGACCCAAGTACAAGAGCCCTAAACCGTGCTCTATCCTGTGCCAACCTTATTGTCTCTAACTCACCCACCTCTATTACCCGAGTTACTGAATCAATCCATTTAATCAGCGGTCTTCCTCTCTTGTGCTGTCCCTCCACCCTCCCAAATATGATGTCTCTCTCCAAGGACTGGTCCGTCCTTGTAACATGTCCAAAATATGTCAGACAAAACTTCAGAATCTTTGCCTCCAAGGAGCAGCCTGGTTTACTAATCTGTGTGTTCTCCTAGCAGTGTTGATATTATGTTAAAATGTTAGTTGATACCTGCAGAGAAGTTAGGTAAGAAGAAGATATGGTTAGGATACTAGTATATTTAGTTTTTCTAAGTCTTGTTTTCTATCATTTATTTCAAGTTCTCTTTGCTAATAAAAACCTATAAACCTAAGCTCTTTGCTCTCAAGTCAAAACCAACTCATAACAGACCCTTCAACAGCACTTAAGAGATGTAAATTGTGTGAAAGAAGATTTCCCGTCTTTCTCTAGTAGAGGCACGTGTGGATTGGTGTTTCCGGAGTGGAACCACCTTTAGATTAGCAGCATATCTTGCTACACACGTATTATGCTTCTGATGCTTTTGTGTCAACTACTAGTCATAACGACCCTATAAACGATGGCTCTGAACCTTGCCCTTTCCTGAGCCAATCATACTATCCCTGACACACCTTGTCACAGTCACTTTGTCAGTCTGGACTGAGTATTGTTAAATGTTCTCTGCAAAAAAAAAAGTGACAATCTGTGTTTCCATTTAAAGTATTAGAACTTTCTCTTTTGTTGCTCTGTAAGTTTTTACTGGCATTTAGAGAAGTAAAAATTTCCTACCAGTTACAATATTATTTTATGCCAGGTTGTAATATAAACGGACTTTTTTGAACTGTCTCTTATTTTCCCTGGCGTCATTAACCGTTTTAAAAAATATTATTTATATATATTTTCCTCACTATGAGTCAGCATCTTAGATAAATGTTTTTTAAAATTCTGGATTAGATTTAAGCTGAGCTACACTTTCCACTAATACTAATAATATACAGTCTTCATAAGCCTTGATATCGCTGAAGTTCCACAGTACGAAATATTTTAGAGTAAATGTTATTTACCTTCCCTATTTTTCTGTTCTATTTTATATAATAAAATTTTTAGAGTTGGGAACATTGCATTTTCTGAACATACCCTTTGAAGAGAGCTTGGGATAGGAAATTTTTGAGCTGTTGTCTATTATCTAGATCAGAGTCCAAATGTAAAAATAATTTGCAAAAATAATATTTATTAATAACCTTTTTAAAGATGGATCCCTTGATAAAGGAAATAATTTCATAACAGTAATAAAAATAAGCCTTTTTTAAATAGAAAGAAACTAATTGTCTTAAATAATTCAATTATCCAAACATGCTTTGTTTTATGACATTAATTACAATATTGGCAATGTAACCACACTCTTCCTCCTCCATCTTTTGATTCTTTAATTCCGTTAATCCTTCCCTACCCCCTCATGTCTTCTGCTTATTGTTTGCTTTATTTCGTTCCAGTTTGTGTGCTTTTTGTTGATTTTCTTGCTTTGCTGCTGTAGGGATAACATACAGTATGATGCTGAATAGCATAGTGAGAGTGGATATCTTTGCTTTGTTCCTGATAATTGATGGAAAAGCACTTGTTCTTTCTCTGTTAAGTATGATGTTAGCTGTGAGATTTGTAGATGCCCTTTATGAGATTAAAGAACTCTTTATTCCCACTTTGCTAAGAGTTTTTGTTGTAAATGGGTGCTGAATTTTGTTGGATGCCTCTTCTGCATCTATTAGTGTGTTTCTGTGGTTTTTCTTTTTCTCACTGTTGATGTATGACACACTGATTGAAAATTTCCTGTCTTGCAGTGGGCTTGTGTTCTTGGAATTAACCCGTTCATCATTGTCTAATTTTTTTATGCTTCGCTGCATTATAGTTACTAATACTTTGTTGCTGGTTTTTGTGTCTGTGCTCAGGGTTGTTCATTTATAGCATTTGGGTTTTGTTTTTTTTTTTTCTCTCTCTCTATTTGTACCGTGTCTGGTTAGGTATCGGTCATACTGGTTTCATAAAAAAAAACTGGGTAATCTTTCCTCTTCTAAATTCTAAAAAAAAATGGTGTAGGAAGGGTGCTATTTCTTCTTTAAATGCTTAGTAGACTTTACCAGTGAAACCACTGATATTTGAGCATGACTATGATTCCATTTCTTTGATAGTTACAGGAATGCCCATGTTATCTTAGATAAGTTTTGGTAGTTTGTGGTTTTTGACAGATTGATCCATTTCATTGTCACATTTATCTATGTAGAATATTTCAAAGTATTTTACATTATAAACCTTTATAAAGACTGCTTATGTAGTCTGCAGTGATTTTTTTTCCATTTTATTCTGATATTGGTGACTTGTGCTTCTACTTTTGGGGTGTGTATGGTTCTTGTTAGATGTTTTTCAACTCTATAATGCTATTGATTTTTGCCAAGAAACAACTTTTGTTGTCAATTTTCTCTATTTTTCATTTTTAGTTTTGTTGGTTTCTGTTGTTTCATTTCTTCTGCTTGTTTTATATTTATTTTGGTTTTGCTTTTTGGTTCCTTAAGATGAAAGATTAGGTTGTTCTTTTCTTCTTTAAGCTCTCTTTTGGCTGTGTCCCACAAATTATATTAAAACAAATGATTCTTTCTTTAAAATTATAAAGTTATTTATTGACCCAGGACATTATTTATCTTGGTGAATATTCCATGTGTATAATAAAAGAATGCATCCAGATTATTTTTTATTTTATTAATTTTAATGAACATTTACAGAGATGGATTTCTAATCATTGATTGTGGCATTTTTCTCCCTGTTAGCTCTTCTCTTTGAAAAGTAAAAGAAAAATTTCTTCATTGGTATATAATCCCCTCGTACCGAGTACTCTCCACTATACAACCTTCATTCTGGACTCTTGTCATAACTATAATACCCAATCATGTATAACTTTTAAACTGTTCTCTCCCTCATCTGTTTCAATGCAGTATACATAATTTATCCAATTTTTTTAAGGAGTCAGATTCATTTGATCAATGTAGCTATCTTTTTTATATGATTGTTTATTCTTTATCAGCATATTTCTCTGTATTTGGGGGAGAGGAATGCTACAGACCATTAACCATAGTTGTGGGTTTGTCTATTTTCCCCTTTAGTTGTCAGCTTTTACTTTATATATTTTGAAAGTCCTATTGTTAGGTATATATAGATGCTGTCATTGCTGTAAAGTAGGAACATACTCATAGCTGACCCTTCAGTGGATTTTCAGAGGCTGTAATTGTACAGTACAAGATTTCTCATCTTTCTCCTTTGGAGCAGTTAGTGGATTTGAACCCCCTGCCTTTGATTGGCAGCACAGCTCCCTACCCACTAGGCACATAAGCTTCCTTGTATACATACAGTGTTATTGCTCATATATTCCTAGTGAATTCAGAGTTACAGAATCATTAAGGTGCATTGTGAGGCATTTAACAAAATAAATACACTAGCAAACCATTTTTCTTTTATTTTAGAAATCATTGTTATGTTTTTAATGCTAGTAAATGATGAATGCTAAGAATATTTTTTTTATTCCTTTGTTTTTGTGCAGGGTTTGTTTTTTGTCTCAAACTGGACAAAGCAGTTGACTGGATCTTGAAACATGTCTCGTTGAAGGAATTATTAAATAAATCTGGTGGGGAAAGAAAATTAGTCTAGTGGGCTGCATCTACCTTGTCCCCCCTTTTAAAAGAGAATAAATGGGCTGTTTGAGAAGAGAGTTCTATTAAAAGGAGAGTCTCTCAAATGGCTTCAGAACCTCTGAGTGCAAAACAAGTAAGGAATCACGCCACAAAGGGGAAAAGGCAGCAGCCCCAGCAGATAAAGAGCAGATCTTCGCTTAGTGATGGTGACGGGGATGACTCCTTTACCTTTGAAGCAAATGAAGCGTGGAAGGATTTTCATAGCTCTCTCCTTCGATTTTATGAAAATGGAGAACTCTGTGATGTTACACTAAAGGTAAGACTGACTTCTTTCCTTACTTTTTTCAGCGTCTTCAGTGTCTTACAAAAAAGGAGGGGTTCTAAAGTCACAGAAGAGAAACTCATGGATGCTATTTTTATTATCAAAGAGTTCTAGTAGCATAGTCCATACTATGTTGCACTGCTGTTTCCTATTAAGGCTTTTAACCTCAGCAGCCTGATGCTGGAACACTGTGAATCAGAATCAACTCTATGGCAGTGAGCTGGCTTGGGGTTTTTATTCTAGCTACAAGGAACCCTGGTGTAATGGGTAATCTGTCAGGCTGCCAAGTTGGCAGTTAAAATTCTCCAAACTCTGCATGGGAGACAAATAGTGAGGATCTTCCTGTAAAGATATATGCCTTTGGGAACCCAGGAATTGACACAAAGACTGTGGGTTGCGGTTCTTATAAAAAAAAAAAATCTTGTTATACGGAGAGTTGTTTAGTCTTAGAGCCTTTTTATTGATGAAAAGTGCTAAAGTGAGGCTAAATGAAGGAGGTAACATGAGAGAAAATTGTTTTTGTTATTGTTATGTGTCATCAAGTCGCCTGCACCTCAGCGACCCTAACTTCAACTGCTCTGAACCCTGCACTATCCTGAGCCAGCCTCTGGCACACCTACTCCCATTACACCGGTTTCTGTGTCAATCCTTCTTATCCAGGGTGTTCCTCTCCTGCGCTGTCCCTCCACCCTTGCAAGCTTGATGTCCCTCTCCAAGGACTGGTCCCTCCTGGCCACATGCCCGTAGTAAAGAGAAAATTACTAATTAAATGTTTGTGTTTATTATTTCTGAAGGACCCTGGTGGCACGGTCATTAAAATGCTTGGTCAGAAGTCTAACTCATCAGCTTCTCTGCAGGACAAAGAGGTGGCAGCCTGCTTCTGTAAAGACATATAGCCTTGAAAGTCCCATGTGGTAGTTCTGCCCTGACTGGTAGGGTTGCTGTGATTTGGGGGTATATATCTTCGGTGGTAGTGGATTTCATTTTAGTTTTGAGAGTTTATTATTTTTTAGTTAATTCAACTTCTGAAAGTTGTAGGATTCTGGAAAAACCAGTAGTCATAGTAAAGTTGAAAATTTCTGTTGACCAGATAAACTTTTAAATTGTGAATTTATAAGCCTTGGTATAGTCTATCACTTATCAGCTAGTTGCTGTTGCCTGGATTTCAGCTCATGGCAACGCCGTGTGTGTTACAGGAGGTCTGTGCTCTATGGGATTTTCAATTCTGATTTTTATGTTGTTGATTTATAGGTTTTTTATATGAGGCACCTCTATTGGACTTGAACTGACAACCTTTTGGATAGCATTCATGCATGTTAGCCTGTCTAAGTATTCTAGATACAGAATAGAGATCAGCAATTCTTGCTTGTTTACTCAGCTATAATATTGTTTTACTTTATGTTCCTGTTCTACTAATTATTTGTTAGTATCACCTGTTAAGATTGCGTATCCATAGTTAAAAGTGGAGTGGGTATTTTTAGATTTAAGTGAAAGAGTTTTTAGTGAACTTTAAAATTCTTAAAAGTGCTAAAAGTAACAAAAAAAAAAGAAAATGTATGGTACAAAGTCAATTTATCAACCTAGTGAAGTTTTAAAACATGTTTAATACTTTTGGCATTTTCATGAAATGTATTCAGACATTCTGATGTAGTTTAATTAGGTCAGTCAGTGTTTTTGGCTGGCTATTTGAAGTAATAACAGTTATTAAAAAGCTACCTTTTTTGGAAGGTGTGGCTGTTGTTTTTACAATTATATGTAATTTATTGTTAGTTAAGTGAAAGTTTAAAGGGCAAATTGGTTTTTCATTGAATATTCATTCACGTTATATTTTGTGGCATTTATGACACTCCTTACATTTTAACATCGCTCTTCCAATTCTAACCACTGGACCAATTAAGTAACACCATGATCTATGGATAAAATATTGAAATTGTCAACTATTTGATCTTACTTTGATCCACAATCAACACCATTGGTGTCAGCAGTCAAGAGATCAAGAGACATACTGCATTGGGAAAGTCTGCTGCTAGGGACCTCTCCAAATTACTGAGAAGCAGTGATGTCAGTTTGAAGATTGAGATGTACCTGATTCAGGCTATGATGTTTTCTCTCTTACTGTGCTGAACAGTGAATAAAGATAGAAAAAGAGTTGATGCCTTTGAGTTGTGGTGTTAGAGAAGAGAACTGACTATCCTGTGGATTGACAAAAGAACCAAAAGATATGCCTTGGAGAAAAGGGCAACCAGAGTACTCTACTCCTTGGAGGCGAGGATGGCAAAGCTTTTTCTCACAAACTTTGGGCATGTTGTTTGTTGTTGTGTACTGTCAAATTGGAACTGACCTATAGCCAATCCTTCAGCAAATTTTCAGAAGCCTGTGTGGGAAGAGATTTCCCATCTTTCTCTCATGGACCAGCTAGTGGATTTGAACTGTGTACTTTTGCATTGGCAGTGCAATTACTTACCAGTAAGGCCACCAGAGATCCCTGGGCAAGTTGCTGCTTCTTGTGGTTATGTACTGTGGTTATGTACTGTCAGGTTGGAATTGACCTATAGTTGATCCTCCAGAGGGTTTTCAGAGGCAGTACATTGCAGAGGAGAAGATTGCCTGTCTTTCTCCTTAGAGCAACTGGAATTGAACCACATACCTATGTGTTGGCAGCACAATTCCATACCACCCAGACACTAGAGCTTGAGCATGTTGCTTGAAGATATTATACTTTGGAAAGGAACATCATGCTTGGACAAGTGGATGGTCATTGAAAGAGGGGAAGACCCTCGACAAGTGAACATAAGTGTGCCTCTGTACTTACTTATTTTTGTATTGAACACATATTTTTAAAGAGAGAGGCTAAGAAAAAAACACCCAATACCATAATATTAACACTTAAAATTAGACGTTACGTTCATTTTGTAAATTAATGTTAATTTCGGCTTAGATTACGTGGAGTGGATTCTTTGTTGGACCTCTCTGGGAGTTAAGGAAACATGCTTAAATACAGGAAAATCCTTTCTGCTTCAAAATACTGTTTATAATACTGCTTAAGTATGAAAAATGAAAAACTGTTTCAGTGGCTATCATTATAGTTAAATAAACTATTTTATATGTAGAAGAACACATAGCCAGTAAGTTTGAGGGCTCAAAAGTTTTCTGTTTTACAGATGGAAACTGTAAACAAAAAAGAAAAGAAAGAAAAGGAATTGAGAAGAGTGTTTTGCATTGTGAAAATTACAATCAATATCCATAAACAATATGTAGGAGTTGTTGGATGGAAACCAATTCACTCTATAAACTTTCACTAAAATAATAATAAAGGGTTTTTTTTAAAATTCCATTTTTAGAAACTTGGGGAAAAATAGATATTAGAATAATTTCAGTTTAACTTCAGGTGTATATAAAACAAAATCATAAAAACCAATAGGTTAACATTAGTTGTTGAATGATGGTAAATAATTTTTTTAAACTCCTCTGTGCTTTCTTATTTTTCTATTGAACACATATTTTTAATCAGAGAGGTAAATAAATCTCAACACCTTAATAGTAACACAATTAGAATTTATGTTCATTTTTTAAGTTAAAATTCTTGTTATTGTTTATTGTATGCCATCAAGTTGAAATTTCAGAAGCATTAAAACCGCAAGGGAGGAGATTGCCCACCTGTCTCCTGCAAGTGGATTCAAACATAACTAGAATTCATAACTAATGACATTTCTGGTGGGTTTTGTTCAGATAATGTTCTTTTAAAGTAATTTTGAGTTTCATTTACTGAGAATTTAAAAGTTTGTGTTTTGTGCTCGCTTCGGCAGCACATATACTAAAATTGGAATGATACAGAGAAGATTAGCATGGCCCCTGCGCAAGGATGACACGCAAATTCGTGAAGCGTTCCATATTTTCAACCCTGAAATGAACCAGTCTGTAACGAAGGCTAACTCCTAACTCCTTTCACCTACAAATTTCCTCTTTGGATACAAAACTAAGTGGATAGTCCTTACAGAGGGACTGTTTAAAAAAAGTTTGTGTTTTATTTTAGAATATATTTTCTTAGTTTGTCATAAAGTTTATCTGGTTGGACCAAAATGTTAGGTCAGCAATAAAAATGAAGGATACTTGAATTCTTCTCACCCTGCACAGTCTTCATGTTGTGAATAAAGTGCCTAACTGATCTAGCGGTTTTGTCTCATTGTATTTTGATCCATATTGGCTAATCTGTGAAAAATTCCATAAGATTTTGATTACTGGATTATATTTCATACTTTTGGGGTTCAGACTCAGGGATTATTTTATGAATATGTTGATTTTCTGCATATCTTAATTCATTTTAAGCTTGTCATTTTTTTTTTCTTCCAAACATCTTAAATTATTCATATATTTACTGATCTAATAAAAACACTAATTTAGTAGTTCACTGCTGAGAATACATACTGTATGTACCATGTTTTCTTTGTATAAATGTAAATTTAATAATGCCTTATGTTTTGTAGTTAGTTTCTTTTTTACTGGACTTTAAACACTAGATCTATAAGCTCTGATTTTCTTTCTTTTCAAAATTTTTTATGAAATGTTCTTGTTAATTATTTTTATATACCAGGAAACAAAAATGTAGAAATGAATTTTTAAGGATGTATAACACAAAAGAAGAATTAATGTCTAACCGTACATTTTTTAAAATTTTCACACTTCACACATGTTTCAGTGATCATTTTTAAAGTTAAGATGGATATTAATCTTTATGGACTCTGTGTGTATGTGTATATTTTAGTTTAAATCAAGATTAAATATTGAATTGTGTAAGAGCAGGTTTTATAAAAAACAGCATATAAACAACTTGCTAGTCCTTGGTTTATACAACTTTGTTAGGGAAGCAGTGTTAATAATGTCTGGAAATGTACAGCCTTGTTTTAGGTTATATATTTTATAGAGTTGGAAATTTATTTAATTCAACAAGTTTGCATCATGTGAGATTTATAAATATGTCATAGAAACTAATCTGAATGGTGACATGTGCACGTAATCCAGAAAAAGATATTTTTAGGATATTTTGAAGCCATTTAGTATGAGATTTCAAATTCTATTTTAGGGCTTACATGAACTAGAAAACATGGGAAGCTCTGTGTGCTTGTCTGCAACTTTATTTAGCCTTTAGAATCTAACCCTGCTTTGTCAATTCTGTCAGACACACAGTATGTCACAGAATGGACCATTTTGGACTTGTCAAAATATGTGGTAATAATTTTCTCCCCTCCACATGAGTATGTTTGATTAATCATTTGGGTGAGTTTGAATTCACCAGCTGCTCTGAGGGGAAAAGATTAAGCAGCTTGCTTAAGTAAAAATTGACAACTTGGAAACTTTGTGAATGGTTTCTGCTCTGTCCCT